CAATGACTAGAATGCACGTTGTGCCTTTCCTTGAAGGGTGACTCTAGACTTATTGCAGCAGGGAAAAGAGCAAGCCTTAGGGAGAGGGGATGAAGGCTAGTGCTGAGTGGAGTCTATGACACAGGCTTGAAATATTCCCAGACTTTAGGCGGGTAGGTATACAATGAGAAAACAGCAATGTGTACATGTTCATGACTGTAAATGAAAGGATCTATATAATCACAGATCATTGGCATCAGGGAGCTGCAGCTACAGTAGCATGGCTTGGTAAGCATGACTGAAGCTGTTTATTTCATCCTCACATCTAGAGAGACTAAAGGAAGGCAGTGTGGTGAGGACACAGACGGTTTCTTTCTCTGTGAGGATGGAATGTACCTGGTACCCAAGGAGGCAGAAATTTTTGGCAGCTATTTTCAATATGCATATGCAACCAAAAATGGGCATTTATGCTTTAATTAGGATGTAATGTGACAAGGCTTTACTAGTAGCAAAAATGTGTCCACAAGTTAATAATAATCATACATGGCAGCCATGGCATCTCTATTTAGAAAGAATGGATTTCTGTGACTGACAGAGGCTTATTTTTTCATGTTTTTGTTTGTTTGTTTGTTTTTCAATGCAATAACTCCCAGGACTTTTCCTTTAAACCAAGCATTCAGACATAGGAATTGAGGGCTTGATATGATCCATAGTCAGGTCTAGGTGGACAGTTAGTTTCATTTGTATTAAATAGTATAGAAGCACAGCTCAATTCGGAAAGTAAATAGAATTCAGCTTAATTTTGAAGAAAGGTTTGATGAAAGAGTTTTTATGGACACACTTAACTAAATGACTTTCTGGAAATAGTCTTGAGTGGGACTCCCCAAATCCACCATCTGAGTCAATTTGTCCAACTAACTCTGATAATGTTTTCCTTCCTCTTGAGCATAAACAGACCAAATTTTACTTTTGAATCATCTCAACCAGTTAATGAAATGCCAGTGATGAAAGCATCTCAAAATATCTGCTATGGTACCTTTTTTTCATAACAGGGAAAGGAGAGACAGATTATGGAGTTGCCCAAGGTCACACAATGAAGTAGCAAAGCCACAGTGTTATAAGGGAATCTGCTATTCTAGGGTTATTGGTGTGGATAGGAGCAGTCACATGAAAAAGTGGGTCTCCATAATGGTAACATGCCTCTTATCCATTTCCCAACTACTATACCATCCCATGAAAAGATGGAACACTTCATTCAAGAGACAACTTCATAGCATGTAACAATTATTTTGTATCCACTGTGAGTCTACAGGAGTCTTGGCTAGGAAACAGCTACACAGGCTCCTGCAGGGATTATTCTATAAATAATGCAAGTGATTTCCTTTCCATGGACTTTCAATGCATGCACTACTTTTAAGGCTAATTATTCTCCTTGATGTACACTGGCAAATCTTACAGAGTGTAGATCAGACAGAACATCAGGATCCCCACAGGTCACCTGGAATAGTCAGTTGGGATACCCGGAATTTCCCCACAATTAGACTAGAAATAGAAATTTCATGGGAATAGCACATTACCCAAGATCTGTGTCTATGGCTGGTGGAGAGAGGATTATATTTATAAACACAATACTTTAAAAATATCTCAGTATACTATAATGATATGAAAGTGATTCTTTTACTTGAATGTATATGTGGTGTTTTATTTATGGACCTACTAAATATTTTTTATATAGATACTTCACTTACATTATTTTTAAGTTATTCTCTTGAGTAAACAACCCTATTATACATTAAGCAACTAACCATGAGCAACAGTGTTTGAATATTATTCCATGAGGGATTAATGGCTCCTATAAAAGAAAGCTCCATAGATAGAGATTTCTATACACATTATTTTGAACACAGTTTGAAATATCTCCAACTTAATATCAAGAAGAAATCTGTCCCTTAAGAAAGTTGCCTAGCTTAGAAAAAAACAATCCCATCTCCACTGTAACATGAAATAAGCAATGCCTTAGTAAATTTAGCAACTTAAATTTTCAATATACTTCCTGGTTCCAAAGAGTATAAACACAACATTTATAACCAAATAAGCTTGTGCATTCACAATGTGAAACACATAGAAACTTTGCTGGAGGGAAAATAAAAAAGGTCAGAGGAGGCTTTAGGGCTATCTGATTATTTACGTAAAAGAAACCGATGAGTGTGGATTTCATTTTATTTGAGACAAAAGAACCTTTTCAATAATCAAGCAAGCTAGTTATCTGCTCTGTGTGGTGCCACTTCTGGTTTACTGTGAGTGGTACATCATGTCCTAATCAGGTGACTTTATGACAGTGTGGTGGCACATTACTTCCTAATCACATGACTTTATTGGCCTTTGGAGATCCCTATTTCTGGTTTAGCAGATGAGAAACTGCAATGTAGACTAAATATGTCACTGACACAAACACTATAGTGGCCATTAAGGATCATGCATGTCTAGACTAAACATTCACAATAAATAAAAGTTTTTTTCTTCCTGTTTTAATCCCCTAGTCTAGAGAAATGATTAACTGGTAGCTATAGGTGTGATTTGTATTTTGTAATGACTGTCTCCAGGGCTTTAGGCTACATATTCTCTGTACAGAACTGCATTTAATCACAACATAAAAAGGCAATTCCCATGGGTTAAGAAATCTCGGCACACAAAAACAAACCTTTTGTATGCTAAAGATCACAAATAGCAAGACACCCCTCCTTTGAACTAAATCAAACCTCTTGATCATATTTAACTCTCAGTGCATTTCAGGCAAAGAGCCTGTTTCAGCCTCATTGCTTGAATTCTGGCAATGATAATGTGTGAAAGTTGTAAGATCAAAAGAAGAAAGATACAGGGAGACAACAGTGGGAAACACAGCCGAGAATTGCTGATGGGCTGCTCCACGTGTGGACATTAGAAATCCTGACATCACTGGACCAAACCACAAAGATGGAGGACACCTAGGTTCAGTTTCACTTATTTACTTCACATTACAACCATCTCTTCTATATCCTGGCTATCAGCTTTAAAAAAATGTAAAGCCAGTCACCTCTATACAGTCAAGTTGATTTTTTTTTTAAAAAGTTGGTATCTCCTCAAAATAACATTTTTAGTGGGCCTAATAATATACTATGCTGAAATTTTCCATCCTGGTGAATTGAGTGAACCTTGGAACATTGTTCTGTACACAGACTAAAGAGCTTATTCTAAAAGCAGACTGACTATTTATATAGAAAACCATTTACAAATAAATAAACAAACAAATAAACAAATAAACAAACAAATAAATAAATAAGGAGCGCAGACTTCACTTCATGCTTCTGAGTGTGTTCTCAGAGGTAGGGTGTTCAGAGATTTGCTCATTAGCCTTAGCTGTGATTAACCTTTAACTAGAAGACCTCACTAAGCTCATGTTCCGAGTGTATGTCTGCACTCTATGCTCTGCAGTCAGACAAAGGGTGAAGCCATTAATTATCTAGGAAGAAACAGGTAGGTCAGCCTGCTCTGTCAGGCTAATCTTACGGTCTGGAGTCTTCTGCATTTCATCCTGCTATTCCAGGCTGCACACTGACTAGGCCTGAGGAGAGGTGTTGAAGGTGGTATTGGAAGGAGTTAGTGTCAACTTGGTTACTTAATTCTAAAATGCTTCCAAACAACGGTGTGACATTATCCTCCAGAAAATAACTCATGTGGATCTTGCCACCAGGGTCAGTCTTATTATTTATTTAATCTGAATTGACCTTTCTCAACTGTTCAACTTGGAAAAGAATCATAATTCCCCTTCCTTGCAGTTTGCCTTGGCAGAATTCACTGACATTGAATTTTCAAGAGGATGATAGTAGATTGCCACGAATCTCTGTCTGTGGGACTCCTGGGCAGCATGTGAGCAGGACCTACTTTTTCATCTTTGTGAGAGAAACAGGGCAGTGCCATTTACGTGAGCCTAAGAAGAAACCAATTGGCTGAGTATAATTTGCTCTACAAGTCAGAAGAAATACTTCCAATTAACAAAGAAACCTTAATTATCTTGGAGTGTTTTGAATAATAAGGAATGTGGTAGAGACTGTTAATTGTAACTTTGTTTATAGTGGCAGGAAAAACAAAAACAAAAACAAAAAACAGAATAGCCCAAATGTTCATGAAAAAAGATAATTAAATAATCCATTAGTATTTAGTAGGATATAATAAAAAAGGGATGAAAGCATCCTAATCTATTCAGATTTGGAAAGATGCTTAAGATACACTTTTAAATGAAAAAGGAAAATTAAAGAACACCATACCTAATAGCAAATCATAAGACAACAACATTCCAAGTTGGTTTTATGTATTTTTTGAAGCAATTAATCACGGAAAAATGCAAAGAAGTGTTTGGAATCCTACATAATATACAGATCACAGCTGCATGGGAAATGGGACCAAGATTGAGGTGATGAACTAAACTGGATTTGCAAATATAGAAAACATATCTGCATATTTCTTTTGAAATTAAATATGTGAACCAAAAAGCTTAAATAGCATGCTACACAAGCATGAGGAAATACCAGAGTTCAAATTCCCAGCACATATGTGAAAAGGTAAGCATGGCGACACATCTCTTTAAGCCCAGCTATGCTAGGGTGGAGGCAGACAAATCCCTGAATCTCATTTGCCAACCAGTGTAGCTGACTTGGTGAGTTCTATATTCAGTGAGACATACTCTTTCAAAAAATTCAGTGAGAAGCAATTGAGGAAGACACATGAGTTCAACTCCTGGCCTCCAAAAGCATGTATCCCTATCACCTGCACCTACAAACATACATGTCACACAAACACACAGATACATGCACACTAAACATTTAATGGCAGCAATACAGTGACAAGAAACAACATTCTATCAAGAAATGTATTGTGTTATGGGAAAACAAGTCTGATCTTTGATTAGAAGGAAATATGTGGTATATTACTTGCTCATTAACATAAGAAGTTGGCCCCTGAAGGCTACTACCACAGAAACTCACCCAGTGCTGTTGAGGTAGCTCTGTCCCACGCTGCAGTCTTTTGACAGTGAGGATGGGTTGAACCAAAAAGCTGGTAGGCATTGCCCATTACTATGTCTCTCATAGCCATAGTCACTGTTAGGGAAATACCCAAGATAAAACTTTTTGTCAGAGGCAAACTTACTCAGAACTATTTCATTTTAGACCATAACCAACTTCTAATCACTCAATAAAATGAGCATTTCCTAAACCAATGTTGTCTAAAAACTAAACATTTTTTCCTAGACTTTATCCATTACTCAAGAAAAAAATTCATAGAACCAATATTCCCACTTAAATGCGTTTAAGATATAGGAATGATTAGTTCTCATGTAATTAGGACCAGTAATTAGGAACCTGACAGTGTCGGAAGCTTGAAAACATCATTGTAGAGGTTAACACAGCCACATGTGGCACAGTCCCCATTACCAGTGATGTCTTTGGGATGTTCTTCCAAAACATCTGGTTGTAACAAGCAGAGCACAGCCAGGTTTCTCTGTGTACAAGCCATATGCTTCAGAGTTACAGCCAAAAAGAAAATGCCCTTCAGGAATATCTCAAGCACTTCCCCAAGGAAAAGTTTTGTCCTCCACAGTTAGCAGTGCCAGTTGGTACTAACTGCCTAAAATCTTGCTTCTGTATTAAAAATGCTCAAAAGAATTTTCTCTCAGCCTCTATTCATTCTTGTTTCCAAGGGCTTCTAATATTCTTGGCATCTGGAAGATGAAACTGGGCATAGAAAAGGACAACAAATTGTACCTCCACATGCAGACAAATCACAGGCAGCAATGGGCAAGCATTAATATGAATTGGCCCATCTTTGTAATCGAGGTGAGATACTGGCACATGGTGTGCATGGAGGGAGAAATGGGCTTAGCCTCAGGGGCCTGTCATTAGGCAGCTGGAACTGAGAATTCTGTACAGACCCTCTGGATTAGGGCCTGGTTCAACACAGCATGAATAAGAAGACTACAGAAGAGCCTCTTCTAGAACACCCAGTGTTCCCTCCAGGGAAATATCTTACAAAAGCTGGAGAATGACAAGGAGCATCCAATGACAGTATCTTTCATTAGATTACTGTCAGATAAGATTTGTAGAAAATCCAGCTACTAACAGAAGCCCAACAAGGGCATGGTGAGCCTTCCAAAATATTTTCAGACACCATGCAGTCACAAAACTTCCATTTGAGCAGTAAACCTTACAGTAGTACTATGTAAGACTCATGTTCTATTCTTTAGAGCACCGTTCAGCCTGAGGAATTGGTAACAGACTCCAGTAACCATTGAATTCAAGGATCTGAACAAGATGGACATGGGGGTTAGTCAAGGAGGGAAGCCTGGTTAATTTCCTTACCTTGTGTTCTTTTGACCTTGAACAAAACCAAAATATTGGCTTATTTTGAAATATTGTAAGAAAAAATTCAAAGCAGAAAATGTTTTCATGAAAAAAGCAGGATATTTGGGGTATCTTGCTCCACATTCTCCCTTTCTCGTTGTTTGAGAAAGGGTTTCTCTGTGTAACAGCCCTGGCCATCCTGGAACTCACTCTGTAGACCAGATTGGCCTCAAACTTACAGAGATCCACCTGCCTCTGCCTCCCAATTGCTGGTATTAAAGTATTAAAGGTGTGTGCCACCACTGCCCTGCCTAGATTTTTCATCAGAAGTAATTTTTGCTCTTTTTTTTTTTTTTTTTTTTTTTTTTTGGTTTTTCGAGACAGGGTTTCTCTGTGTAGCTTTGCGCCTTTCCTGGGACCCACTTGGTAGCCCAGGCTGGCCTCGAACTCACAGAGATCCGCCTGGCTCTGCCTCCCGAGTGCTGGGATTAAAGGCGTGCGCCACCACCGCCCGGCAATTTTTGCTCTTTTTGAAGAATGGCTACTTCACAGTGCCAGAGCTCTTCCAGTGATGTACTATGCTGACTTCCTTTGCAAATTCTCCTTCAATATAATAGATGATCAAGAACTGGCTAGGCTTCAGAAAGATGGATGTGATGGTAGGTATTCTTGTGAGTATCTTCCTGAGTGTCAGTCCCAAGGGCAGGGCAGAGATAAAGAACTTTTGCTGTTGCAGTTATGGAGCATTGACAGAAGTCCAGATTGGGGAAACCCCTCTAGAACTCCCATGAGTTCCACTGTTGATGAGCTCTGATGCCCTTGGGCTAAGTGCAAAGAGCTACAGTGCTGTTTCTTGGTTTTCCTTGTTCACCAAAAGAGAAAGCAATGGTGGGTTATTGGTTTAACAACTGGCAGACTTTCTCAGCAACACTAATTCAGGGAACATTTCTAGTGGTCTACCATTAGAGAAAACTAACTTTTCTGTGATGTAAGATACATGTGTAGACACTGTCTCACTCATATTTTGATGACTATACATAAATGAGCTGTTATAGGTACACAACTAAAAAAATGATAAGAATGAATAATTTATATATGGTTCAAGTTTTGAGTGTTTAGCATTTATATAAATATATATTGCTTCTTCTAGTATATATTCTGTGATAGATAAGAAAATGTAAGAGGGAAAGAGCAACAGAAAATGTAATTATTAGTCTTCATCAATAATTTTTCAATTTCACCTGAACATTAAACACTGACTAAGAATAAGTCAAGAGCATTGTTGGCTCTACAATATAGATTTGTGCTTAGCTAATGTCTGGGAAGAACGCTACAGTTCTCTTTAGTTGATACCTTCCAGAGTCTCTCTGCTTCTCCAGTCTAAATTTAGCTCTATAACCACTCAGATTACAGGGTCAAATCGAGTCCACTCTTGCGCTGAGTTTATAAATGTCACTCTCTTAAGCTCTCATAAGCTGGCATTAGTTGACCACCACAGATTGAAAACTTTCAGGGACAGAGAATTTATATCTTTTGAAGTTATTATGCCTACCAAGGATGCTAGATTCTAGGAAGATTTTATGTAGCACATAAATGTATTTGCTCCTGAGAACTCCAATCACTATTTCCCACGTAGCTATCTAAAGCAGCTTGAGAAAGAGCTGACCTCTCCTTTTTCTTTCTGAGAACATATCATCAATATGAAGATAATTGCCAACCATCTTGTAAGGCCTCTTAAAATCCAAAGACGAAACTGCTGGGTTTTTAAAAGATACAACCACATAACTAATAAATACCATGATGCTGCCAAGAAAGAATTTTATAAAAAACATGAGATCTACCACTTAACCCTAGGTATATTATCACTTTCTCAAATCTGAGCTTTTATTAGGCTTCACGGATGTCATACTACTGAACAGCTTTCTGAAATAGCTATGGAAGCTCACCAGTCAAAATCTGCCTCTGTACAAACACAAGGCTCAGACTCCATCGCTCCTGCATATTTTCCTTGCATACACTTTCGCTCAGATTTTCGCTTCTTATATATCCTTTTGGCTCCCATGATGCATGCTTCACCCTGTAAGGAGAGAAATATGACGCAAAATTGGAGCACATAGACTTCTCCTATTGCATAACAATGTGGTTTGGGGAGATATTCACAAACTTTAATATAAAAAAGATGTTTTGAAATCCAATTTCTGATATTGGTATTTTCCTTTTGATGTCTATTATGAAGTATGAACACAAAGGCAGCTCCAATAATCAATGCAGATTTTTCTAATGATAGACATGATATCTTATATATTCAGTAAACTTTTTTTTGCAAAGTGTTAGGCTTAGTACAATGAAGGGTACATGAGAATGTAAGGTAGCCTATAACTAATAAATTGACTGCTAACCTGTAATGATTAAGTTCAGTTTTCCTATAACAAAATACTTATATATTTGGTCATTTATGAGCCCATGAAAAAAACATTGTTAAGAAATATAAATACCCATTTTATCTCAATTTGTTATTTTTTCTCCATAACTTTATATCACTAATTGTATGACCATCTACCAGACAAGTAAGAAAGCCAAGTTCAGTCTTCTTCCAATAAACAAATAAAAGCTGGAAGTATCACAATGTGTATGCATTCCAAAGAGAAAAACAGCAGCAATTGAGTGAAAATTCCATTGGTTTGCCTCTAAATAGAGTGTGTGCTCCTTGCTAATGCTACACCCACTATCAAATACAGCACCTTTGTGTTTCTGAAAAATCCAGGCAGAATTTTTAAAATGTATTATCCTCGGTCCTTACTGAGGTAACTTACTTTAACTGACTCCATTTCACATCATGAGTAAATACATTACTCAGTGTATGGAGTATAAGGTGTTTCACTTCCTGAATATTGGCACGACTTCTTAGCAGGTATTTCTACCATATCCTTTGAATAGCCTGCAGATTGATGTCTATCTTGGGAAATCAAAAAGAGAAACTCTCATCCAAGGATTTTGATCTGAGATGAATAACTGAGAGGGATGATATAGGACAGTTTCCTAGCAGCAATTTCACATTCTTATGCTGTGAGTAGCTTGGAGGAGGCAAGAGCCACTATATACCCCTAAGGAATCACAGAGATGTGGAAGGACTTCTTTGGCATCACTCACCCAGCATTGGTTGACTATTTTATGCCTTAGCTCTGTCTGCATTGCTCACTGAAACTGAGGAGCCGTCCCTCATTCTGCGTCTATTATGCAGCCCTATGATATGCTCAGACAAATTATGTTTGCATCTCAGTGCTGAGTTGATATTTCATTTTGAGGTGTAAATCTAAGCTAAGCACATTTGAATTTTTATATCATTATATCTTAGCATAAAAAAACAGAAGCAACTTCACAACAGGATATAAATGTTGAGTTAGATTATTCTGTGAGACATAAAACATGGAAGAATAAAATGGACATTGTGGACTTGAGAATTCCAATTCCTAAGCCGTAAAGAGTAGTTGTTTTTCCACACCTTCCCTGCTTCCTTCCCAGGGTTCAGGCTCATCTCTTTCTTACCTGGCTGTGTAACTGCCAGGGTCTGTAGTCTTCTTCAGCACAGCGTCTATCAAAAATGGACTTGTAATCCACTTTGACCAGCTGCCATTCGGAGCGGTGGCTGAAGTGTCCAAATACTCTACAGGGTTTACAGTGATAAATAAGGGTCACAACCATAAAGACAACAACAGTATAACAAAAGTTTGTATTAAATTGTCTGCTGTGAAGTTGGTGTACTGCTAGCCACATTACATGGATCACATCTCCTGTCGAGCACATTTATGAAGAGGAGACAATCACTGACTTCACTTTGCACATGGATAAATTGGGGCTCAAAGATTTTTCTCAATGCAGACATGACAGTCATATCACTAGCAGCTAGCAAAGCCAGATCCCAAAATATTTGATTCTAAGCCACAAGAATGGTTTAGAAAGTGACTGAAGAAACAACCACAAATATTGTATTTTAGGTGGTCCAACATAAACTTCTAGATTCTTTTGTTAATATATCTGGTCCGATGGCTTTCATATTCTTTTACATTCTCATCAAGCCCTACAGAAAGTGGACAATAGGACCAAGTAATTACAACCACTCTTACCTTATAAATCCTGATCTCATGCAGGGATTCAGTTAGTATAGGATTTAATCACTAGACATAATGTAGACAAAGGCTACAAAGTAGCCTTTCAGACCTTTTCTGTGTGCAAAACAATATTTTGAAAACCTAAAGATTGAATAAAAGTCAGCTACTCAATAAACTTCTAGTCTAGCTGTGTTTGCCATGTACAAAAGTGAAAGTGTGGCTACTGAGCATAATAGATTTTTCTTGTCTTTGCTCAACGTTAAAAGTGAGGAGGCTTAAATGTATATCATTTTTTCACTTTGAGTTTGACATTTTTACTGATTTCTGGTTAAATTATTTTGGAATTATCTATCTTTCCAGGTTTTCCATGGCCAATTTTCTAAGAGCAGGAAATATCACAGTTTCATATATCAAATTCAAAGTCCAAGTTTTGAAACTGGTAGTCAGTTAAGTCATTAATCAAGTCTTTCATGAATTAATGATTATTGCTTTCCAGACAAGAATGAACACAAATTCAATTTTCCAAAGCCAGTTGCTCTCATGGTTTCCTTAACACACCTCACAATTATGTAACACAAACAGTCAGGGATAAATGAAATGCCATGGTCTTAAACGTCTAGAATTTTCTATAAATCCAGGTTGCACAGCATTATTACACTTTTAAAATGAATAGCTTTATTTTCTATTAAGAAAGTTCTTATTAATTTACCTAAACTGGTTAAGTACAGAAAGAAAAGATCACAGCCTTTCCCTACCATCCCTCAGCCTGCATCTTCAAAAATGCTTCTCATTCTTTTTCTTCTTTGCTGGAGGTTGTTGAAGTATGATGTGCTAACATTGCTAACAACTTCCAAATTAATAGTAACAACTCCAACAGGCTCAGCTGCAAAAGACCTCTCTAGGTGATAGTAAGATGGAATTACACCATACCACTTACGTCATGATCAGTGTCTCTTCTCCAGGCTCCCCCAGAACTCCATCCACAAAAAGTGGAATGGATGTGAAACTGTATTTGCTCCAAGATCTCCCTTCATCAAAACTCAACCTAATGGCAGAACAGTTTAACAGTATTCATATCTCAATAACACATTGAGACTTCATTACAAATAGATGTACTTAATTATATCAAAAGGCAGAAATAGAGATATTCAAGCTACTATGAAAAGATGTGTTGGCGTATAAAAAGGGAGAGTCAAATGAAATGGGAATAATCTAATAGCAGGAAATAATTTAGAAATTTTATAAGTTCTGACACCTCATGGGACTGTCTCCAAATCTGCAATGTCCTATTGGTGGTGCTGGGCATAGAAAGCTTTGCAAGTTTGACAAAATCAAACAAATCTATCTCTAAGTGATCAACTCATAAGCAAGTCCCACTTACATTACATGCATCCTTGCTGACCTCACTGAATGAATGCATATGGAAGGATGGGCTGATTAGAGCAAGGGAAGTCTGCATTTCTGCTGGTCTGTTATAACATAAATGCCTATGTTTTCTTCAAAATACATGTGCTGAAAATTAAATCACTAATGATATTAGGAAATAGATACTTGGGTAAAAGTGAGATCCAAAGGGTAGAGTCCTCAGCAATGGAACTGTTGTCTTATAGAAAAAGGCTTGGATTACCCTGTCCTTTTTGCTGTGTGGAAACAGGCACTATTTAGGAATCTGAAAGTAAAAGGTGTTGTTCAGTAGAAATGGACTTGGCCATCACTTTTGTCTTATACTTCTAGTTCACAAAACCATGAGAAATCAATTTCTGATGGTCATGAGTTAACTTGCTATTTGGTAACAGCAGCCTGAGCACTGACTGAGACAACTGAACAGGAGGGTGTGTTTCACTGTCTTTCTCTGTGGATGCCTTTCCTCAAATCAACCTTTGTTAGTCTTCTGCAGTTTTCTCCTAGATTCATTAATATAATCAAAGATGGAAGGAGAATCATGTTTTTGACTTTGCACAAACTCATTAAGCAGTGGACCACTTCTAAATACAGATGAAGAAGGCTGTTGGAAACTCCTGCAGACATTAGGCCTTGCACATTTATCAGTACAAGACACAAGTAGATTTGAGGACTGTCACCTCATTATAGGAAACTAAGGAAGTCACACAGGTGGAACAGGATAAGAGCAGAATAGTCATGAACTACAAGTCTCTGTGTGGGATGCACAAAGCTGTGTAGATACTAAACTTCATGAGATGTTGTTAGGGATGAGTGATTGCAAATAATGCCTGCTGCTCAGAGATTATGGGAGAGTGTGAATGAGGCTGTTTCAGGTGATGGCACTGAGGAACTAAGGAACTGATGCAGGCATTGTCACATTTGAAAACCTTAATGCAGTTGTTCTCTTAGAAGCAAAAACACTTGCCTATCCTTCTGTTTGCTCCCCAACTTCCCCTTTCCAAAAACATAGGCCACAATTTTATTTCAACAGAACAAACATAAAATAATGTGGTAGTAGTTGATGGTAGTTAGAATAAACACAGTAACAGTGTGAAGGCTGATTCAAAGGCTGGCCCAGAAAAATGGCCATATGCATTTTCCTAAGTCAGAAGTACCCTTACCAAAGGTGTCGAATTGGGAGAGACGTGTGTTTCATAGCAACCAGAACTCCACCTTGATCTAGGTACAAAATACTGTGCTCTTCTTCAAAGATCTAGATGAGAAAGACAACACACAGGCATACAACTACATTACATCTGCATGTGGTGTCCCAGGTACAGAGAATCAGTCTATGTAGGAAGATTAAAATCTCTCATAGAAATGGGTTTCCCTAAATCTTTGAGAAAATGTAAGCCATAAAACAATGCTTCTCAATATGGACTACATCTACCACTGATACTATATAAAATAATCTTATAGTTCTACAAAATACATTTTAAGCATGAACAGCATATATTCATCTTTTTATTCTCATATTTGTGGCAGTACTTATCAATTCCTATTTCTGAAGATGATGTTAGAACACTAGGAAATTGTAAATAGTGTACATATATAGATAGAAGGAAACTTGGAGACAGTTTAGTACAATAGTCTCACTCATATACTAAGATTTGTAGACTGAGAATGCACATATAACAATGGGTAAAAGTGAGGCTCACTTCACTGCATTGCTCTCTTCAGATATAATTTTCTAATTATCTCCAAATTCCCACACTTGATCACATAGATGTTTTCTCATTTGACTCATGGATATCCTTCCAACTGACAAACAGTTCTAATTAAGATAAAATCCTTAACTTTGGTCACATTTAAAATTGAGTCTTTTACAAGATGTGGAGAAACGAATCAAATGGAGAAATTCTGGAAAGAGTCTCTAAATTTTTCTATACAAAATGCATTCTGGGTTCTCAGTTAAAATGTTATGATGGACTCACTTGAAGTTATACTACAGACATAATCTCTCTCTTGTTTAATTATTTTTTAGTACGTCTCTCTCTCTCTCTCTCTCTCTCTCTCTCTCTCTCTCTGTGTGTGTGTGTGTGTGTGTGTGTGTGTGTGTGTGTGAGAGAGAGAGAGAGAGAGAGAGAGAGAGAGAGAGAGAGAGAGAGAGAGAGAGAGAGAGAGAGAGAAATGCATGAGGCCAGAAGAGGGCACTGAACTACTTGAAGCTGGAGTTACAAGTGGTCATGAGTATCTGGATGTGGGTGTTAAGAACGAAACTTGGGGCCTCCAAAGTGCAGAAAGGAGCTTATCTACACATCTACTCTCCAACCTCATTAATTCTTACGCCCAATATATGATCTTAGCCTGTATAAGGAGAGAGTTCTATGCCTTGTTTAGTGTCAGAAGAAAGAAATGGAATCCTAACATTGTTCCCCCAAATTTTCCTTAGGATTGTCCATCTTCCTTCAGACCCCAAAAATTTCTCCTCTGTCCTCCTTTTTCAAAATATGAAAGTACCATTGAGGGCTTAAAGCTAAGACAGAGCACTTGGCTATCATGTTCTCCTTTCTCTTCTCATGAAATTTCAAGCAAAGTGAGCTCCTTGTTAAGTATGATTACCTGTGCATTATATTTCAATTTATATTGCTAGCTCTTGTATGATAATTAAGCACCAGAGGCTTATTAAAACATATTTATTGAGGTGTAACAGTCATATGTTAGGCTCATACCTTGTTGTGATAGCTAAACTTCATTAAATGCCTGCTTTATCAGCTGTCAGAATCTAATTTTCATTCAGAAGAAAGGTAAAAAGCAGTTAAGCTAAGTGCATTGGTTTGAAGTGACTCCATTTGTATTTATTGACCATATGCAGTCTGATAGTTATTACTCTGTCATTTACACATGAGATTTAAACATCTCAGAACACTACCTTGGTAATGGCTATTTCTATCTCTCTTTAAGGAAGGAGAATTTATAAAGACAACTAAGCTTTATGTGTGCAATCCACCCAGAAGGATCCAAATTTCTTACATAATAGATTCAGTGTTCCCATTTTCTTTTACATAAAAATCCTTTCCCACTTGATTTCAGATGTGTTTATATATAGACCCTTGATAAGAAATATCTTTATCAAAGGATAAAAGCATCAATCTTCATTGGTTCATTTCAAACTTGCATTAAAAGGAGAAAAATAAATACATTATTCATGTCAGGTTATGTACAATGCTGTCTTTAGGTTTCTAGATTTGAAATAAATTGAACTATGACTTAGAACTTGAGCAGAAAAACCCAGACCAAGGGTGTTTTCTTACCTGCCTCCAAGTGTTCCCTGCATCTGAGGAGACAAACATGCTGATGTCGCTGTCTGACAATTCAGACCCTATATTACCTAGAAAGAATGCATGGCCATTAGTGGGAGGAAGGTTCTGAAAGAGCCAGGAACAGATCACATCAGCAGTCTGCACTGCCTGAGATGGATATCCACTGCAAACTTTCTGTCTAAGCAGGGATTTTCAGTAGACTTGCTTCAGGTCAATGGTTTAGGTGGCTTTCAAAAATATTTTTAGATTGCTCATTAAATTCCAACCACAGATGTCTTGTTTCTTAAAATAAGCACATGTACAATAGCAAGAAAAGTGTGCATACTTCTTACCTGAAGCAACTATAATACTTGGGGCTGTGTCCCTGCTGGCAATGATCCCAGATGTGTAGGGATTCTCAGAGACCTTGAGATGGAGGTGTAGTGAACAATAAGGCTAGGAAGAAGAGAACTGAATGTCATATATGCACATAATCAACATGGCCACTTAAAGCCCAGATTCTACAGGCAGAAACATTGCTACAAATTCTAGGTCAACCTGGTCTACAGAGTAAGTTCCAGGGATGCCTAGCGAGACTCTATCTCATGTTTTTAAAATAAAAACAAAACAAAATAAACTAAAAGGCCTAGATTCAGAGCAACTAATCTCTCTATTCATCCATTTACTTATCCAGTCTGTCTTCCATCTATGAATATCTTCGTCTACCCATTGTGCTCATCCATCCACCAACCCATCATTATTATGTTCACAAATGTCTAGTTTGAACCAAGCATATGGCAGCTTTTAGGTTGGTGAAAAGAAAACACCTCCATTATAGCCATAATTTACCTAAATTATATTTAGTAAGATAATTATTTTAACAATTGTAAAATACTAGGTAGAACTCATAAAACAATTATGGACCAAAATGTTATTTCTGCCATTACAGATTTTTTTAAGAGGACATGAGATCTTTCCATTGGTTACTGGGTAAAGAAAGTATTTTAGTCCTCCTAAAAAAGATAGAAACAAAACATTATAAAAGTCTAGATGGTGAAGAAACAAAGACCAGTTTGGAATTAAGACTGGCTCCTAAGAGAAAGTACAACATGAAGAAGGATGGGTAGGTTATGGATTCGGGTGAAATGATCAAGATATTTGAGAGGACATTTGGGACATGAGCAATACCAATAACAAATAGAAAGAGGGGGATGGATTGAGTATCACAGTATATAGCCAGGAAAGAATAAGGAACAATGGGACATGAAGCTAAGAAATGGGGGTGAGTTGACCTAGGAGAACTTGCAAGAAATCAGTTGGCAGCTCAGCTATTAATACCTCAGAGCATGGTCTCAGCATAGGAAATTCTGTCTAAGCTGTGAAACTGGCCTAACGTTTGCAAACAATTGACACAGTGTTGTCACCAGATTCTGTTTCTTTTTTTAATGAATGCATATTGACTACGTAAACTAATGAGTTTCATCACTGACATTTTCATACACACACACAACACACTTTAATCATATTTATCCCTTCTCTACCTCCTTTTTGGTTTTGTTCATTATAAAAAATCATTCTTATAGGCAAAATACAGTAGTAATATAATTTTAAATGAAAATTTTTAAAATTTATTTTTCTATGCTTGGAGGCCTTGATCAAATTCTCTGATTAAGGTATCAACATTTTCCAAAAAAAATGTATAGTATTTCTTATATGAATTTTGTTTAACGTAGTACATATACTGAACTGTCAAAAATACAAGCTTATGTTTGAACCCCCACTTCTTTCATCTCTCAGGAAGATTATTTCCTAATACTATTGAATTGAGTTTTGGGAATCACCAGTGTGTCTCAGTTATTACTTTTATTCTGTTCTGTAAGTCTCAGCCAGTAAATATTCAGAGAGCTTCAGGACTTCAATGATTAAATTTATAAAGGGTGGAGTAAATGACAAAGTAAAACTGAAACTCAGAAATAAAAGCAGCCAAACCCTACAAAATGAAATCACAGATCACAATACGGTAGTGGAATTCTCACTAATAACACAGAAAGTGAAGCCTTTAAGGAACAATGAATTACTGGTTTTGCATGAAAATTTCATGTAAAGCTTTCAAGGAAAGTTTCATGTTCATTAAGCTCTGAAAGAGGGAACATAGCTCTGAAGGAGAAAGTACCAAACACTTGACTTCTTTATGCCCATCAGGAAGACGACAGGAACCAAGGATAAAGATGTGAGCCACCTAGACCATGCTAAGACAGGATAAATGGAGCAATCACACCATGGGAGCTTTCCTGTCACCTGTAACTTATAGATCTTTCTTTAACTGATGTATTAACATTTATTTTACTATGAATAATCCTGTAAGATCTATTTCAGGTATGGTACAATTTTATTTTGCTCAGATAATCTAGAAATGAAAACAAATCAAGTTCTACACTGCATCTCCTCTGGAATCTTGCATATAATTTTAACAGGATAATAAAGGCTTATAATAAACAGCAAGGATGCTTTTTATGTTGTTACATGGAATATATTATTGGTTTACTGAACATGAACCTGAGTATAAATCAATCTGAGTAATGATGTCATCATCTTTATAGTGTTCCAAGGAGTGTCATACAGCCTGGGCATTATCCCTAGACAAAAAGATTTCATGGAGGGCCATTTAAATCACTCAACAGAGCACCGCATCCATATACAGAGAAGTATCCAGGTCACAGTCTTAAGCCAGCTGCTTGCAAAAGTTGGAAGATTGTGAGGCTCAGTTGGCATCTGAACCAGTGATTATTTGGTATGGAAACACGTGATAACGAGGAGAAGAGGGTGTTTCAATCAGCTATCTCAGAACTGCTCTCTGGCCCTGGCTTTCAGAGGGCCAACACATTCATTTGAGAAGAAAAGGCACCAGTTTAAGCTGTAGCAAGGTTTAGAAATGATCTCTGTGACTTGTCTCCCTCTTTCACATTTGCAGTACTGGATTGCCCCCAGCTGGTACTTCAAGAATTTTCTATGCCGTTTTTTTTTTTTTTTTTTCTGTTTCTTTCATTTTATTTATCAAAGAGTTTATATGGTTGACACCAATGTCTCAAGAAAACCACGAGCAAGTGATTGTGTTTTAGTTGATATTTTGTGTCCAGCCTGCTGTGTCAAAAGTGATTCCATGACAAACTAATATAAGGGTATATTGTAAGGACCATCATGCTGTTCCAAGTTTGTGGAGGACATGGGAAGAGTATTCTAAATTCTCATGTACTTTTTCACCAGAAAAGGGCACTTAGTGTTCCTTTTTCCTCTTTTCTTCTTGCCTTCCTGTCCTTATTTTGATCATTGTCAAACAGGTGTGGAGGACCTACATTATGCTCACAGCTCCAGTTGCTATAGTGATTTTTCCAGTATCATCTCCAACCGAAAAAGAATGAGACGTTTCAAGAGTACTTCCTGATATTTCCCCCTTCCTTCCATACAAAGCGAACATGAGAATGTACACTGATGCCAACTGATTTCTGACAGCTGACTCACAGACGGGGTCACCAGCATCCACAGTCAGAAACTGTCCTTTACGTCATTAATTGATTCATCAGCTGTGACATATCATGAATCCTCCTAGTGTCTCTGAGATACTAGCTTCTTAGTCTCTAACATTATCCTACTGAGGTACAAGGGATCTTGAGAATCACATGTCGTGAAAGACCAAACAAAAGGAGTAAAGGCACGTGCAGAGTTTCATTTGATTTCAGGGGGTTCCCAAACCCTGAAGCCCATTAGTGAACTTCCAGATCAAATTACCATTCTTTGCCTACCCTGGTCTTTTCTTTTATCCAACAAAAGTATTTTGACCAGTCTAAGTGCTCCATAAATACTCAGCAGGACTAAATCAAAACATTATTTCTTCATCTTAGATAATTATCATTCAATCCTCCTGTCTAATTGAAACACTGTGCCCTCCCATCTTTTTTTTTCTATTTTCTTTCTTGATTGGTTGGTTTTCCGAGACAGAGTCTCAGTTGTAGCTCCTGTTTAGGCATAGGCATCCTTTGACTAACATCTTCCCCTTTATAGAACTTCCCAGCCTCTGTTAAGGGACATTTTGCTCTTTGACGTTGAGAGCACCACTACTAACATTTCATAGGTAAGTAACAAATCATATTTGTCTTTTCATTGTTGCTTACTATACTTAGCACAGTGTTTTTCAGTGGTCCGTTCATTTTCTTCTGTCTTTCAAGTTCAATGGGGAACCACCTGTTGCTAAAAGACACATCCTCTGTAATAATAGCCTTTATACCTTATACTGATGGCAACTCATCCCTATAGCTACTAACATGAATGGTATTCTATAAACACAAATCAGAACTTCTGACAGGCACAAGACAGCCATTAAGTCCCCAAGCAGCATTCTCCAACACTTCCCCAGGCATACATAATTTTGTACATTTCTTAATCTAAATTAAAGCAAACAATCCATTTTTTTGTTCAGTAAAGATTCAAACACAAAAAAAGAGGGACACCCTCAAAGGAGTTGTTTGAATATGGGGTATCCAGTACCACTTCAGTTAAGCACAATATGTGGAGTCCTAGAGTCTACAGACTTGGGAATCTCTCACAGCGGCTCTCTACTCAGCTCCAGGTTTGTTTGTTTGTTTGTTTGTTTTTAAGGTGAAATGAATCTACAAAGAAGTCAGGGTCTCTCTCCATAAAACCCTGTGCTTTTTTTCCAGAGGCCCAAGTATTTGCTGCAGGCTCAGATGTGCTCACATACTGCCTCTTAGGAGCCAGATTCTGAGGCTTTGGGGGAAGGTGAACCAAGACCCATAATACCACATCTAATTGTACAACAGTCTTCTGAAGAAAGAAATCCCAGCTGAGTCTCTAGGCAATCAGTCTGAAAGTCCTAAAAATACAGCCCCAAATTACTCTGGATGTCTTATTCTATAGAATACATCTTACCAGGGACATTCCATTTGGGGCTGTAATTTGGGACTTGTTCCATGCTTGTAACAGCCCCGCTGGAAAATCTCTTTTCTAATCACTGGTCTCCGCTTTCAGTGACACTGTCACTTTCCACATACAATCTAAAATCACTTTTTATCTCCTCTCTGCCACTGCCTCCTAAGCCTTAGAAGGTTTCTTTCTTTCTTTTTTTTTTTTCAGTCTAGGTATCCTGTAGTTCAGAGATTTTTCTCTCCTATTTTGTGCCTTTGGCATGATTTTGTGAAGTGATTTTGGCCTCTCTTTCCTATTTCCTTTGTCAGTTTCCCCTCTTTACTCTGTTTCCTGGTTTTTAAAGCTTATGTTGAACTGCTTTGAGCAACAGGATTAATAAAGGAGGAAGATCCAAAGACTCCTTGGTCCCGTACATCTACATCCCAGTAATTCATGTGTCCTTAATCTCAACGAACCTCTTGATTTTATTAACACTGGAGTCAACTTGAGTTCAGAAGGAGGATATTACAGCAAAGCCCTCAGTATAACTGACAGGAAATGCACAGCTTTTGCTAAAATCAAATCTGAAAGTCAAACACCTTTCAATGGAGTGACTACATCCACCACACAGAACATACAAATACAGCATATATGTTGAATTCTTCATGAGGCAAGTTTGTATGATTCTTGATGCAAATTTTTGGAATTGTCAAAAATGGTCATAGTGTTTATATTGTTGAAGTATACATTTAATGCAGGAAGCTGGCAAAGAAAGTCAGCACATAAGTGTGCTGATTTAAGATAAAGTTATTTTAAAAAAAGATAATAAACAGATTTAACATCACTAGATACTAATGAAAACCACTTAAGAAACAAGGATCTGAATGGAAAGAAAAGACCTGTTTTGAAAATGGGGTGTTTTAAAAGAAATAATAGGTAATCCCACTGCAAGACATTCATGAACACAGTAAGTTCATAACATAGAAAGATGTGAACTCTTTCTTCTCCATAATCTTTGAACAACATAGTTCCATAACTTGGAATAGTTGGGTAGAAAGCTGACCTATTTTAACAGTACTGACCCACACCTTGACTACTATAGATATTCAATAAATACCTGTTACATTTACTTAGTCGATCACTGGACCTGTGAACGTTCTATCACAACTGGCTATTTTTTCTCCTGGTAAGTTGCCGGTAATAACAATGGGGGCTGAGTAGGAGTTGAAATTTAGGACTGCTTTCCTGATGCACAGTGACAAGTTAAATGTCCTCTACAACTAATAAGGTCAAGCTATAGCTGCTGGAATCCTTTTGAGAAAGATGTTGACCTGCCTCCTGCTATGTGAAATGAACCTGAGAAGTGAGTGGCCCAGAATTGTGGGATAGAGTGAAGATTACATCAAAGCCAGAGTTATGAAGAGTGTGATCAATAATGGATGCACATTTAGATGAGATAGCTTTAGACAGATATACAATACACATATATGCACATCTCAAGACCTTACTATAAAACTAAGTGATCTTTCCCATCTTAAACATAACTTCTGAGCTGTTTTATAGAACATTATGTGTATTAACAATATACTTAGCTTGAAAATTTATCTCTTCTTCCTCTATTTCTGTATCCATTGATGTACTGAGTATGTCATGGTCATCAGAGCCAATATGATACAACTAAGGAATGTTTTGTTTATAAATCTAGTCTCACTCAGAGAAGTAAGCTGAAAACTCTTTGATAGCACTCTCCATCTTTCATTTTTCTCTTGGATCCTGTTCTATCATTTAATATACAAATAATTTCTTGCCAACATATCTAATAAAGAAAGGTCACTGAAAGAAAGCCATGATTTAAAACAGGGATATGGATAGCAAACTTTCCTTTCAGTAGTAATAAAATAAGTATCTTAGGCTTGCTTTGACTGTGTATACGGCTACTGATTCTACCTTTTTAAAGTGAAAATGGCTATGGACAATAAATAACCATGTAAGTGTAACTGTGTTCCAACAAAGCATTGAGGAGCAAAACAAGTACTGGGCTAAATTTTCTCTACATGTCACAGATTTTTTGCCAGCCCAGGCATTATAGACTAAAGCAGATACATTGAACAGAATATAGAGGAAGGAAATGGATGCTTAGATCAATGATTCTTAACCCTTTGTTGAATCATAAACTTCTTTCAAAATTATATGAAAAGTATCTGCAAGAAAATGCATTCAATCAGCATTCACTTCACAAATTCTACAGATAAATGTATATACTATTAGTTCTGTAACTGGTAATTTATCTTGAATTATCAGAAAGCTCAGGGAGCCTGGCATTGGTGGTGCACACCTTTAGTCCCAGCACTTGGCAGACAGAGGCAGGTGGATCTCTGTGAGTTTGAGGCCAGGCTAGTCTACAAAGCAAGTTCCAAGACAGCTGGGACTGTTAACACAGGGAAAACCTGTCTTGAAAATCAAAAAGAAAAAAAAAAAGAAAGCTCAGGGAACAGCCTTAGCAGAGATGAAAAACATTGTATTTCCCTCAAACTGGAGGTACTATCAGAATCTGAGATGGAAGGCTAGGGATACAGCTGAGTGACAGAGAGAACATTTAGCGCAAAAACAAAGCAGAAAATCCCATCACCACCACTACCACCACCACCCAAAACATCAAACAAACAGAAGCGATTCAGGCTAGAAACAAGAATCTTGTAGTGGAGCAAGAGTCTGGTAGATGTTCCCATGTCTGACCATCACAATCGATAGGCCTAACCATTCTTTTCTTTGGATTCTGCTCATCTTTTTCATCAGCTGAACAGAAGTCCCAAAACTATCTTCAACATCTTGTTGGACACCAACTCTAGCCCTTCACCATGTGGGGCATGCTGCTCCAGCATGCAGGACTCACCAGTAAACAGTGCACAGGATCCCCCCTTAGATCTGCATCTGGAGCCTGCAGCAAACGCCAGTCTCTGCCTTTGTTGTAAGTGATGAAAGTCTTCACTTGGTTGTCAATCTTCTTGTTAGCCAAGAACATTCCCTTTATCCCTGCTACCTGGGAAAAATTGACATGGCTGAAAAATACATCATTTTTCGAAAGGACTTTTTTTTTTACATTAAAATAACAACCGACTGTCAAATTTTTATCTTAGCGGAAAGATAGGATAGGTGTAAATGCTTAGATATACCTCCCAAGTTTGCTTGACAGAAACCAATAGCCTTGCGCCCCCTGCTGTATGTGAGTCATAACACAAGTTTGATAGAAGTTTATCATCTTTTGTCTGTTTTGCTATTACTGATGATGTTTATAATAACTTTATTCAATCACCAAAAATTGTAAATAATCAAGATGTTCACTATGAGGAGGAAAGTAAAATAAATAGTGGCATGTACAAACAATGGAATATTATTTGACACTAAAATACACCATCAAGCCGTAACATGACAAGGGGGCTTGAACATCCAAACACCCCACTAATAAGTGAAGGATTATTATGCAGGATGGCAACTGCATGACATCCTGTAAAGGCAAAGCTATGGAGCCACAAAAAAGATGAGCAGTTGCCAGGGTCTACTTGGGGGACAGAATGACTAGGTGGAGCACAGAGGATTCTAAAGACAGTGAAATCATCATGTTATGATCACATAATGATGTATATATGTTATAGGATATTTGTCAAATCCATGAAATGTAAAACTGAAACTGTGGTCCTTTCTGTAAAATGTGACTTTCATAGGTTTATCATCTGATAATAGGTTGGCTACAGCCATCAGTCTCCAAAAGACAAACCTCAACACTTTCAAGCCTGTTGCTTGACAAGCATTAAGTAAATAGGGACAGTTTATATTGTATGCTAGATATCATGCCGGGTATTATATATATTATCTCTCATTTAATCTTTGTAACAGTCTGTTTGGGAAATAATTGCTAATTCTATTTCACATCCAGGTCACATTGTCAATGACACAGAGTAAGTATCAGACCTCGGATTGTAACCCAGAATGCTATAATTTCAGAGTGCATGGTTATAATCTAAATTATTGAGGTATTTTCAGCACCAAGCAAATGAAAGAGGGCAGTTGAAGGACTCATTTTTCTTTCTTTTCTTCTTCTTTTTTTTCCAAGACATGGTTTCCCTGTATAACACTCCTGGCTGCCCCAGAATTCCCTCTGTAGACCTGGCTGGCCTCAAACTCAGAAAGATCCCTTGCCTCTGCCTCTTGAGTGCTGGGATTAAAGGCATGTGCCACCACTGGCCAGCAAAAGACTCATACTTAATTATTATTATTTTTTTCTTTCAATTCACCAAATGTACTGGGCATTAGAGAAAACAAATTTAAAAATGTAACTGTTTTCTTATCAAATAACCATTCTTTCAGTTTCGTGATGTTGTCTTCTTATTAAAATCGGTTGATAGCAGAGGTAGAGAAATGGCTCAGTGCCTAAGAGCACCAGTTTCTCTCCTAGAGGACCATGGTTTGGTTCCTAGCATCAACATGGCAGCTCATAACCATTTGCCACTCTAATTCCAGGGGTTCTGATGCCCTCTTCTACAGTCCCTGGGTACCAGGCACAGGTGGCACACAGACATGTGCAAAACACCCAAACACAAAAAATGAAAATAACAAATAATAAACAAAAATGTTGCTAACAATTAACTATGAAAATGCTTCCTCATTCTATGTGCTAAGGCTAAGAATTAGCAAACTATCAAACTGTGCAGTCAAAGATCATCACTGGTAGATTATCTTTTCAGGAATTTTAGCTTTACTAAATACGTGTTCGTCCCTGTGAAATGATTACAATCCAGTGAAATTGGAGATCAGTGAGGGAAAGGTCCAAAATATGTTGAATGATACATCCCATGTATACACACATTCACTCATTCAATGCCCATCATTAGCACAGTGGTCAATAACCATGTTTTCAGGATGAAAAAATGGAGAGTTAGATTACAATACACACAGGGAATTAAAAAATACTTAAATGGAATTTCGGAGTAGTTTTACTGAGCTTAGACCCTTTATACTGTGATGTGATAAATTTTAAGTGGAAGAAATAAGCAGAAGTTGTTGCTTTGCCTGTCCTTGTTAATACAGAGCACTATGCTCATTCTTTTGCATAGACGCCTTCCAAGGATTGCTACAAACCTGTGTAACAGCTTTCATCCCAAGTCTTTGCAGAAGGAAACTGAGGTGTTGACAAATTTTAATTGTTTTTGATCACAGAGAACAGAGTTTCATATTCTGTTTGACTTCCAAAATTCTTTCAGCAGACAGCTCAGAATTTGTCAGTTCTAAAGGGCTGGGTCTCAACCCACAGTAGGCATGCATTTCGATTCTGTTTTTGACACAGGCAGATCTCATTAGTCTGTACCTGTGGATTTGGCATCTGGGATAATTTAGAGATGGGCCAAATCTGTGCTTTTTTGGAACAAGATTGTTTAACAAATAAATGGTGTAAACGAGTTGTTGAGAGGAATACTTTGAACTACTTAGGAAAACAAGCCACATTCTGGGCAACCAACAGCCAGAACAATTTCTGTGCATTGTTGGTTCTCAACAAATGTGGAAGGCATAAACTCCAGGAGCGTTCTACTTCCCGACAACTCAGTGTTAATTACCAATGATATTTAGTTATTCACTATAACAGCTCCATAAGGGCTGCTTCCCAGGAAACCCAATGTTAGTTTTGCATATGTTCAAGAGGCTGTTACATACTTAAATATGACCACACTGCCAGTTCTTTAAGAATTAAATTGTATAAATCAGAATTTTCACAAAGCCCTGCTGGGCTTCCCTCTCAACCAGTATCTAGCCAGAAGTGAGAAATAACTTAGTCATTCAGTCCTCTATAGGATTACAAAAATAAATGCAAAAGGAATTTAAAAAAAATGTTACCTATTCTAGTCATTTCATTACCTCTTCCTCCCCACCCACCACACCGCACCTGCCTTCTCTTTTTCTTTGACAAGAGTCACAGAGCAAAAGGCTATGTGTTTAGGAGCTGGTTCATTTGATTTGTAGAAGTGGTGACTTTATTGGCCCCTGACTGCTTAGCATTATCAAATGCCACTTGAGCAGAGAGCTGGGCTGTGTTACTCATCTCTGAAAGTGTGGCCTTCAGGTTTATCTTGAGGAATAAAAACTTGGCAAAGAAGAGGGAACATGTGTCAACAGGGGTAAAAGCTGGAGAGAGTTAGCTTATTTTTCTCTTGTAACCAAGGCGATTTGTTTGAGTTGCTTTTTTCTTTTTAATTGTTTTTGCTACTTTACCTTGGCCCGCAAAGATGGTCAACTGTGTCTTTTACTGCTCACTGTGAGGTTTATGAAGGCATTTTTTTCACTGAAATGTTGTTCACTGAAATCCTTTGAATGATGCTCCTTATTCCAACAATTTTTAAGTAAGGTTTCATCATATCTTATTTAGACTATCCATCAATTCTTATTAGAGGGGCAGAGTTAGTGCACAAAGTATGGAGTCATGTGGGTATCCATGATGTGTGTACATTTATTTGAGTGTGTGTGTGTGTGTGTGTGTGTGTGTGTGTGTGTGTGTGTGTGAGAGAGAGAGAGAGAGAGAGAGAGAGAGAGAGAGAGAGAGAGAGAGGGGTGGGATCATATTGGGGACAATATTTACTTTGACACATTACCTTTCTCTGTACTCATACTACATGCATACTTAGGATGGAATGGAGTGGGGGAATGGCAGAAGATACAGAAAAGAATATCCATTGGAAGTTATGGCTTCACACAGACACAGCATTAACCAATAAATATTCTGTGATACATCCTGACACTGGGAGTGTATCTTCTTCTGGAAAAGGACCTGTTAAATTTCATGCCTATTGAATTCAGCATAATAATCTCTGAGAAAGCTGACAGTACTGGAAGCTACTTTTCTCTCCTTGCTTCCCATATGGAGGAATTTGATTCCAGAAGTCTCAAAAGCAATTCAAAGTTATTTATTGCCATTTAACATCTCAAGCCAAGACACCATTTTGATTTGACTTTAAATGTGAAGTGCTACAGCTTAAACCTCAAGCTGAACAGCACACTTATTGTCTTCAAAGTGCTGTATTCCTTTTCCAACTTTGTTCTCTGTTCATGCTGGCCACACTCAAATTTCACAGACAATGTACTAGTGTATTTCTCCCTGTCTGCTCCTCAGAGACAGCTCAATACACCTCTTCCAGAAGTCAGAATGTCTTTATCCTCATTCACTGTCCCCAGCACTTCGGTATTCTTCATTTTGCCTCTCATAAATATGGTACCATGTCTTGTTTTCAACATTGTGGACTCATCTAAGAGATAATAACCTGCCCCTCTAGTAGCCTTTAAACTCTTTATTGGAAGTTAAAGTGACATCTACCATCATGATCTTTAAAGACAATATAAACTATGATCATTCACTACAGCTTCCTTAAAAATAATTAATTGTACAATCACGTGTATAAGGGATCCTGGTTTTGTTTTATTGAGATAGATAGTAAGAGTTCTCTACTAGGTGATGCAATAACTCTGGAAGGCATAGGAAGAAGGACTACCATGAATTGGATCAAGCCATGTATATAGACTGTGACCTTGTCTCCAAAAAAATCAAATCAAGCAAAGACAATTAATTTACTGAGTAAATAAATGCTAGGTTTGAGAGGCCTTTAAAAAAAACCTCAATATATGAATCAACTTCATGTATTCTGTAAATTAAAAATTGTAATCACTTTGCAGATGAATAAATAAATATTCAAATGTAAATCACCTGCCCAATGCCATTCATCCACAGACCCAGACTGTCCATCAGTCCATCCAACTCCAGAGCCCATATATTTAGTCTCATGGTTGTCTTGTTTACACAAATTTTCCTGTTATTCTAGAGAATTGTGAGAGAAATATCACACTGGCACATCATACTTATAGGGACCATTCAGTAATCATTATTTGATGCCTTTATTCTGTAGTCATTCAGTAAATTCCTGAACATGTGCTTCATTCCTTTAACTACTGAAGATCTAATAACCTGAATATTTTAAGCATTTGTCCCTTCATATATCAAAT